ATGCGCACAACTAATATAATACATTCTTAAAGCTGCTAAGAAACACAAGCATATAGAACCTATAGCTAGCAGAGTATAATTACGCTGCTATAGAAGCAGAGACATAAAATGTTCTAGAAACAATGTAGTTTAATGCTATAGCAAAGAACTTTTTAACTGCTATAAATAAAGTCGCCCCTTATTAGTTTACAACCTTTTAAGAAAGTAGATAGTTTACACTAAATATAAATTAAAAAAAATAATAAAGCGCTTTTAAAAACACATAATGTTAAATTATCTAATATATATAAAAAAGCATAAAGCTACCTTTACAACAGATAACTTATTATACCTTACTAAAAGTAGAAAAACTACCTAGAGCATAAATAAGAACGCCTGTAGTGTAAAAGTTATAATGTTAAGAAAATAAAGTAGACCTTAACATTAATGTTATTAAGAAAATAATAGGAAGTTATTTTTAAGCTAGAAACCTGCTAAAACAGAAAGCACTAAATGTTCTGCATGTAGACACATCTATGCACTAAAGGACTGCTTCTATGTCTATCTAGACAGAGCACTAGACTAGTAAATGCTAAATAAAAAAGTTAAAGAGCTTATAGCATTAAAGCGTAAGCATAACTTAGAATTTTAAAGCCTACTTAAAGGGCAGCGTAGACATAATTTAAAAATACTAATCTTAAAAAGTTTATATACACCTACACTAGAGATATAAGAAGACTAACTTAAAAGCTAGAAAGTATTAAGAGTTAAAGCAGCTACATTACTAGCTATAGTTAATTTAAACTAGAACAGATATCTACTAAAAGAATTATTTATCCTTAAATTAGGCTTAATATGCTACATTATAAATAATTCTAATTAAATTTATAACTATTATTTACTAACACTAGAAGACTTTATCTAGTCTAGAAACTTTTATGTATAGATTTAAAGCTATAGATTAATTACACTAAGCTTAAAAAGTAAGCATAAAACACATAGTTAAGCATACAGTCTTATACTACATAACGCTGCACTGTGCCTAGACCTGCTGTGCAACCTAGTCTTGTTCTGCCTACTGCAATAAAAAGGAATCTAGTAGGACACATAAGCAAAGCTAACTGCTTTAAAGGCTCTAGATAGAATAATAATTAAAAATCTTATAAAGATTTATAGCTAATAGGTGTTAGAGTACTATCTACTATAAAAAGGCTTATATTATACATATATAATTAACATAAGAACTAAATATAGTTTATAAAAGGCATTAGTAAAGCTATAGCATAAGCGTCTAGAACACCTTAGACTAGCTACACTTTAACACCTTATATAGTAAGCTAAGAGGGTGTAAATTAAAGGAATTATAACAGTTTAATGTAACTTATGTAGCAAAGCTAAAATATAATAATAAATTAGCTATGCACTATAAATTAGTAATAGTAGACCTAGTAAAAGACTATTAATTAATTTCTATGCATACAAAGTATAGAGCATTATAAAAGAGTAAAGTTAAATATTAATTACTAATAAGTATTCTAGCCTCTAGTAAGACCTTTATTTTAAAAATAACAGGCCTACTAAATTAATTATTAAAGCTTTTATAATCTTTATTCTCTTTTTAAAGAACTATTATAATATTAGTGTAAAAGTTATTAAAGCTAATAATAAGATTATAATAGTAAAACTAAAGGTAAAACGCTAGCTAGCATTACATAAAATAACTATTAAGCCTTTAGCACTAGATACACAAGCCTAGAATAAAGAAGCTAAATGCTTAAAAAGTGTAAATAAGAAAAAGTTACAGGCTATATAACTAAATGCTAACCTACTATAGAACATATAGCTATACATTACTAAAGCTAGCGTATACCTATACAATTAGACGCTAAACTATGTTAACAACTAGAAGACACTATATAAGATCTTCTTTACATAAGCAGCTTTAAATAATAAAGTTATTATATTAATTTAAAAGCTAAGCTTTACACATCTAAAAGCCTATAGCTATAAAGCATTTATAATAACTAATAATATATATTAGAACAAATCTAAGCTATAAAGGCTAGACCTAAAGGCGTAGATTAGATATTTAGTTAGGTACTAATTATTAAACATCTACTATGTATAGATACTACTGCTAGTAAAAGTAATTTATATATATAATATTATCTTTAACAAACACTTAATCTTTAGTAGTAAGCCTAAAGACTTAATAAATAACCTTATGTATAACATAGTAAAGAAAGTTACTATATATATTAAAATAATTAAGCTTCTAACACCTAGTTATTAGCTAAAGATAGAGTTATTCTCTAAAAACAACACTATAGACAATACATTAAATCTTAATAAAGTAAACCTACTAGGCTACTATTAAAAAAGAAAAATTAGAGATAACTATTTATCTTTTTTAAATACTCTGCTACCTACAGCATTGCTTATGCAGTTAATAGCTAGAGCTATACTAAAGCTAAGCTAAATAAGGTCTTTAAAGACTATACTATAAGCTGTAGCCTTTATAGCTAGCATAAAATCTAAAAGTGTAGAAAAGTATAGTAGTAAGACACTAGATAAAGCAGCATTAATAAAAATGCTATCTAAAAAAAAACACTTTATAGAAGCTAGCTGCTACTTTTGCTATTAACTTAAAAGTAACTAGAAAAGCACCCTTTATATAAAATGTTTAAGGCAGCAGAAAGAACACACTTAGACAGTTATTAGATAATAAAATCCTAGACAGAGGTCTAGATAAAGCTAATTAAGGCAGCTAGACAGTAGATTCTAGATTATATGTAGGTGTACACCTATAAGCTTAACAAGCACTATAGATTGCAAAGATGTAAGGCGCAACTAGTAGTCTACAGCAATTAATAAAGAAACATTACTACATAAGATACCTACACTGCCACCCTAGCAGGACGCTTATTTTAAATACTAATAGTAATATCTGCATGCTTTAACTTAAAGCTTAAATAATATAACATAACTAACACGTTTATACATGCAGCAATTAACTGCAATATCTACATGCAGATGCTAAAAGGCTATTAGAAACTAGGTATAATACTAAAGCTTTAAAAGGCACTGTATAGCCTATAAATTTCTTTTTTACTCTAGCAACACTATTTTATAATAACTCTTAAAGGCTTTAAGTTCTTAGCTGTTCTACACAAACCCTACTATATAACTAAAGCTAGAATATTTTTTTTTATATAGACAACCTTGTTGTTGCGTATAAAAAAGGCTCTAAAGCAGATGCACAGCGTGTAGTAGACTAGTTACAAGAGAAGTATACCCTAATAGAAGGCAAGGACCTATAATAGTTCCTAGAAGTTAAGATTATTAGAGATTAACAGCAATAAATAATTTAGCTATTATAGGCCTTATATATTAATAAGATAGCTAGGCTAGCTAACAGAAAGGACCTACAGCATGCTACACCTATAAGTAGGATTAAACTTATGCTGCAATCTAGTTTTGCAACTCTATTAAAAGTAAATTAATATTAGCAGAAGATTAGATCTCTGCTCTTTGCAGCAGTTACTATAAGACTAGACATTACCTTTACTACATTACACTTTGCACAGTTTCTCACAAATCCTGCATCTAACTATTAGGATGCAGCTAATTAAGTTATCCTGTACCTACATGCAACACAGACATACGCACTCTAATTAGAAGGAGAAGACTACCTTGTAGTAGCAAGCAATGCGTTATTTATAGATAATACACTAAATAGAAAGAGCTTTTAAGGCTATATTATTTAACTATTTAGCAGATAGATTACATAGTAAGTAAATAAACAAGATATAGTTACAACATTAACAACAGAAGTAGAATTACTTGCACTGTTCTAAGTTACTAAGGAAGCTATGTTTATAAGAATGCTTTTTAACAAACTATAAGTTAAGCTGCCTAATTTAACTATTATAATCTAGTGCAACAACAAGCAGACAATCTAACTAGTAAAAAAAGAGATATCTTAACTTTAAACTAAGCTCTAACATGTCAACATCCATAACTACTAGCTCTAACAGGAAGTCTCTTAACAAACAATTAAGGTTGTCTATGTCCCCTCTAGCGAGATGCTTGCGGACAGACTCACTAAAGCGCTTCTAGCCAGCAAATGGCCAAGCTTTCTTTAGCAAATTCAGCTAGTTAACGTCAGGGAGAGGATAGTCAGTTAGGAAGCGGATATGGAAGAGATTGAAGCAAGAATGGAAGCCCTGGAAGCATACTAAGGTTGCGCAATCGGGAACCAGCTTGAAGCATGTCTAAGCTGAGGGGGTGTGTCAGATATGCGCACCTAC